TGTGTAATGCCAGCTCTTGGGAGGTAAAGGCAGGAGGACTATGAGTTCAAGGCCAGCATGGGCTACAAAGGGAGACCTGTCAGAAAAAGAAAAAATATAGGCAAGAAGAAAAGGGAGAGAGGAAGGGAGAAAGGGAAGAAGGAAGGATGGAAGGAAGAAGAGGAAGAAAGACAACAGAACTTTCATTTTCTCTTCCTTTCCTCCCTCTTTCTATACTCCTTCTTGGTCCTACTCACCTTCTTTCTCTCTCCTCTATACCATGTAAGGAAATAAGATAATGGGCTCTCACCAGAATTCAATCATTCTAAAACCTGATCTTGGCTTTCTAGTCTCCAAAACTATAAGAAATTAATTGTTCTTCGGGCTACCCAATCTGTGATATTTGTGTAAATACTACATATAAACCACAGCCTATCATCCTACTTTTTAATACAGGAGGTAGACAATAAGCACTTTTATTAGTCGGGAGTGGTTAAACATAAGATTCTATAGTTTCATAGTAGATTAGGAGGATAATAACCACAATAACCATTATCACTCAAAGAGTAGAAGCTGGGCACTGGTAGCTCACACCAGTAATCCTCGCTACTCAGGAGGTTGAGATCTGATGATTGTGCTTCAAATCCAGTCTGGGCAAGAAAGTCTGTGAGACTCTTATCTCTAAATAACCATCAGAAAATCAGAAGTGGTGCTGTGGCTCAAATGGTAGAGCACTAGCCTTGAGTTGAAATGCTCAGGGACAGTGCCCAGGCCAAGAGTTCAAACCCTACTTCTAACAACAACAACAAAAAAGAGTAGAAGAATGGGACAGAAGCAACAATCATTGGGAATCCTGCCCAGACAGATATTACAAGGACCTTCTCCATTAGAGTGGGGAATATTCCTTGATCAGGCCCCAATTCCAGCCCACAACTCGTTTTGATTGGAGTTTCAACCACTTCCTCAGGCGACTTCCTCTCTCCAAAAGAGAGAGGTCCACGGTCATGTCAAGTCTTTCTACAGTTTACTACACATATGACTGATAGTAGTTCATGCTCACGGTCGGAAGTTTAGTCAGCTTCTTCTACTTCTGGTTCAAGTTGGCTCCATGTGCCATATCCCCGCCACGGCAATTTCTGAGACACAACTGTATTCTTTCTTTCCTGTAGTTCCTTTGAGCTTGTCAGATTTTGTCATGGGAAAAAATGTATGATTTTCTCTAACTGAAAGATTTCACTGAAGACCACTTGAATCTAAGGCTTGTTCCTTCCCAAAAGTCTGAGTTTGCATCAGAGTTTTTAGCTCAGTTTTGCATTGTTTGATTTGATTTTGTCTTGTACCAATACTAGGTCTTAAACTCAGGGCCTGGAGCTCTTGCTTGACTTCTTACTACTAGAGCCACTCGACAGTCCAGCATTTTGCTGCCAGACTTTTCTGTCTGGATGAGGTTCAAATCACAATCATCAGGGTCTCAGTGTGGATTACAGGTGTGATCTACTGGCACTTTGCCTCCGTTTTGTGTCTTACTGGCCAAAGATGAGAACCTTCGATTTGTGCAAGTCTCCAAATGACTGGCTTCTTCATGGTCATCTTCATGCTTGATGGCAAGCTGGACCACTATGTTTTGATCTTTTCCAGCACTACTTATGTAGCCAATAGTTAATAACAGAGGCCACCATCTCTCCAGTTGCTGACTCTTCTACTGGAGCCCCATGGTTACAGAGGGCTTGATCTGCACTCCCCATGCTTCACCTTGATACCACAGGGTTTCATCCAATGTTTCACTTCAGTGGAACAAGAATCACCATCCTGGGGCTGGCAATGTGGCTTAGTGGTAGAGTGTTTGCCTAGCATGCATGAAGTACCACATAAACAGAAAAGGCTGGAGTGGCACAGTGGTTCAAGTGGTACAGCAAAAGAAGCTCAGGAACAGTGCCCAGGCCCTGAGTTCAAGCCCCAGGACTGGCAAAAAAAAAAATGAATCACCATCCTCATGGTTTCTCTTATCACTTCCTTTACTGTGTACCACCTAGCCCCTACGCCAATACAATTCATTTGTTATTTTGGCTTTAGTAGCATCATCATCTTAGCAATGGTTTCTGCATTGGCCAAGATTGGCTCCATGCTACTCCAGGAATAAAAAGCCAAGCCTCAGCAGCGTAAAACAACAGAAGTTAAACAGCTCACTCATCCTGCCATTCATTATGGGATGGTAAGGAGGAGCTTTGCTTATTGTCCTCATTTGGAGCCTGAAGCTGACCATGTAGCCACTTCTGATTTTTGTAGCTTGGAAGGGTCTTTCATTGGCAAGCCCCAGAGAGACTCATAACTCCTAGGCCAAACTGAGTTACACGAAGTTACTCAACCACCAGGAAGCCAGGAAGGGCAATTCCCTCTTGAGCCCAGAATGACAGACAACTGGGCGAGAAGGATTTGTTGAATATCATGAAAAAGGGTCACATTTTAAAACAATTAAAATATTTGTGGTTATTGCTGGGAAGGAGGAAAGATGAGCTGTAAGTTAGAATTGGACACCTGAAGTGGATAATCTTGGCATTCTCTAAGAAGAGGTGACATTTCAAAGGTCAGAAAGAACAGGCAAGAATGGAAGAAAAAAGCATGTGATGACACATGCCTGTAATCTCAGCACTGGGGAGATTGAGGGAGTAGGCTTATGAGTTTGAGGCCATCCTGGGCTGTCCTTGAGACCTTATTTCAAAAAACGAAGATATGTGGGGTACGGCTTAGTGGTTACAAGCTTGCCTAGCATGTGCAAAGCCCTGGGTTTGATCCTAAGCACTGAGAAAAGAATTTTTTAAAGAATGTTCTAGATAGGAAACAACAATGCAATGGCAAAGATCCTGGAGTGGAATGTGCATGTTTTTTTCCTGAAACTGTTCAGGCAAGCTATTCAAGAACTGAGAAAGAATGGAGGGTGGTAGGAATGTCATAAGATGGAAGATGTTCCAGGATCAGATCAGAGAGAGCCCTAAACATCACAGCAAATGGGATTTTATCCTATGTGTAATAGGAAGTCACTGGTAAGTCTCAGAACAAGAAATAAATGTTTATGTTTTAAAAGGGTAACTCTCTATGTGGGGAATTACCTGGAAAATAAAAGTGAGACTAGCCAGGAAATTATCACAGTGGGAGACAGAGCTGACAGAGATGTGTAAAGTGTGGTCAGTATTGAAGACCACAGAAGTGAACAAATTTAAGATGTATTCCAAAGGACTTACTAATGGATTAAAAAAAAATTTAAAGGGTCAGGAATGGCAGGAGCTCTTAGGATTCCCATGCTTCTGGTTTCATGACAGGGTAGTGATGTCATTTTATAGAACAGGGACATATAAGGAGTTTACTTGATTTAAAATCTACAAGAGACAAGATTCTACTTGGAACACATTGCATTCAAGACATTCAAATGGGCATGAAGTTAAATATAAGAATGGATCACACAGATGATACAAAACTAGTAGGATAGGTCCTACATTTTAGAAAACTAAGCACCATAGCTAACCCCTGTAATTCCAGCTACTTAGAAAACAGAGATAAGGAGTATGAAGGATCAAGGCCAGCTGGGAAAAAAGCATTCCTGACACCCTATCTCAACAAATAACCTGTGCATGGTAGTACACACCTGTCATCCCAGCTAGGAGGGAGGTATAAATAGGAGTGTGGATATCCAGGTCAATGTGGGCAAAAATGAGAGACCCTATTTAAAAACAGGGCTGGGGCCTGACTCAAAGAGTATAGCATCTGCCTTGTAAGCAGGGGTCCCTGAGTTCAAGCTATACTCCTAAAGAAAAAAAAAAAAGCAATTTGGCTTAGAGTCTGTATGTCTAACCCCCTCAAACTATGTGGCATCTCTTAAAGGAGCCTAGGTTAGTGGGCATAAGACTTTAGACACATGTACGATAAAATATGTTTGATATGTGTGTATTATATGTAATAGTTCCACTAAGAGTTCTAATTTGCTCACCCTATGTTCAGGTGGGCCTGACTGAATGAATCATCAGGGGTACAGTTCACTAGCTGCATCTACCCTAAGGCATTACAAGCGAACCATATGAAGAATAGAAATGGTTTCTATAGTTTCAAGGCTTCAAAGCACTTTTTAGAAAAAAAGAATTTTTTTTAACCACAAGATTTCTAAAATGTCACAAGGTGTGCTCTACCTTGTGACATGCAGCTGAATTCCTGATCCTGGATGTCATTTCCTGCTCAGGGAGATGAGTTTTCCGCATCACATACCAATGTGTGTGTTTGTGGTCCCCCCCCCCCCCAGGAACATTATACACAGTATTCACACACTGAATTCATATCGTCGTTCTGAGTTGCTTTATCTCATCCTTTATATTCACTTCTGGGTAGGGAGCAGTCTGGAACCCCAACGAAAAGGGAAGAGGAGGAGGCAAGGGAAGATGGAACTCATCACTCAGATCAGCAGACACCCCCAAGCCTGACGCAGGCAGGCTCAGCAAACCTATCTGGTACCATTTGCATTTTTTAAAACTATTTTGAGGGTGAGATTGTGAATGGTTTGAAAAGGGAGGAGAGGAAGGAAGCGATCTACAGCAAATACTTCTAGATCTTTCTAGGCGGACTGTGTTTCACGTCTTCCCATTTAGAGTGGTGTAAAGCCACTGGGCTCCCCCTTGATATACCCTTAAATCCCCCTAGGCCCGCCCCCGGCCTCTCGAACTCCCTCCCACCTCCTGTCACTCGGCCACACGGTCCCGCCCACTCCTCACCTCCACCCCAGTTCCGGCCCTCTCAGCCATTCCACATGCGCACAAGTGTCATGCTACCGGGGCGGGCCACGGAGCGGGGGCGGGGCTGGGAGGAAGAGGAAATCGGGGGCGGGTCCTAGCTGGGAGTGAACCGGAAGTGCAAGCGTTCCAGCTTCTCCTCTGCCAGGCGGAACCTGCTGTGCTGGGCCCGGTGGCCGCTAAAGAACTTTCAGTGTCCTGCCCGGACGGTCGCCGCCGCCGCCGCCCGCCGCGCCCGCCGGCCCCGCCGAGGCCTCCGCCGCCGCCCGGCCCTGCGCCCGGCCTCCCGCTCGCCCGGCGGAATCCGCCCTCGGCCTCCACCGCCTCCTCATTTTCCGCCGGGCCTACCGGTCCGCCCCGCCGCGGCGATGTGCGACAAGGAGTTCATGTGGGCCCTGAAGAACGGGGACTTGGATGAGGTGAAGGACTACGTGGCCAAGGTGAGCGGGGAGGGGGGGGTGGGCGCGAGGGGTGGGCGCGCGGGCGGGGGGGGGCGGCGAGGGGGAGGGGAGCTGGATGGGGAGTGGGGGATCTGGGATCGGGCCCGAGGGGAGGAGGGAGGAGGGGGGGAATTGGGGGAGGGGCCAGGGAGTGGGAGCTGCGAGCTGGCTGGGGGAATGGGGAGTGGAGGGGCAGCTGGAATGGGGCTGGGGAGGGGGAGTGAGGGGTGAGAATTAGGGGGAGGGGCTAGGGCGTGGGAGGGATGGGAGCTGGGATGGGGCTGGTGGGGAGGGGTGGCGGGGGCGGAGGGGGTGGCGAGGGCGGAGGGGGGGAGGCCCCGAGCTAGGGGCCTTCAGGATGGAGATGACACCGGGGACCCAGGGATACCATTCACGAGCGCCCAAGTGGAAAGCAAGAGGGATACAGTAAGTGGGTCCTGTTCTGCCCTGCAGTGGGCTCCCCCTGCCTTCCTGACCCCCTGGGGTGGAGCTGGAGGAGGCGGGGGAGGGGGGGGTTCTTTGGGACCACTGATCATTTGAATCTAGGCCCTTATCTTCATGCCTAAAGCTTTTCTTTGAATGAACTATTTCTCCACCTTGGGCTTGACAGTTACTGAGGAGAATATCGCCTAATATCAGAGGAGGATTTTCTTTTAATTTTAGGCCTGGCAGGAATTTAAAGAATGTATTGGGGGTGGGTGGGGGGAACAACCAAAAATAGCAATAGGCCAGATTCTGAAACCCTTGTCACTTGACTGTGAAGTGTTAACTTAGGGTGTGGCCTGACCCTCTCTCACACAACCACCACCACCAAAAGCGTCTGTTTCAAGTGTAAAGTTGGCAGTTGGCAACCAGAGTGTTTAGAAAATCTTAGTGGTTTTTTTCAACAAGATTGTTCCACATATGTAATAAGTAATATTGCCCTTTAGTCATAGTATATTTTGGTGTAAAATCGTGATTAAGAAAGCCTAACTCAAAGCTAATCCCAAAGTAAAAACCAGAATCCACTCTGATGGAATAATAAACTTTAAAAGTTCTGCCTTGCCTTTAGGTCCTGAAACTTGTCCCCCTCTTTTGTAGTCATAATAGAACTTAATGTTTCTTACCACTTTAAAAGTGGGATTTTTTTTTAATACCTCCCAAGACTATAATTTTATGATAAAACTGTGAGGAGCTTCTTGCTCACCTTCTCAAAGTGTGAAAACTGGGTGTAGATTTCAATTATTCAAAGGACCTCCAGTATGCTACTTCACAGGTCTGTGATAGGAAGCAAGTAAGAAGAAACAGGGTTTCTTAAAAGTTGCAGGATTGTGCAAGGTAGTTTTTCTCCTTCTAATGAAATTAAAATACAGATTTTTCATCTGCTTAGTTGTTATTGTGGTGGAATTTTAGGACTGGCTGCCTATGATTCATTGCTTTTTCAGCTAATGGCAAATTGAGAGCTGAATTATTTTTTATTTAAGTAGAGGGTAAAAAATTATTTGGAGCATCAGTAGATGTAGTGTGTCACTGTAGTGCTTGACAGCCGGTGGCTTTTGGTTTTCCTTTTGTGGCACTTAGGTTATTTGAAATATAAAGAAAGAAAGTTGATAAGTATTCATTGAATGATAATACAATTGAAAATATTTCTATTGTCTCCATCCATCCTGACTTACTACCACATGACCCAACCATTCATTCAAAGCACATTTCTGAGGGTTGTCAAGACTACCTTCTTAGTGGCTCTCACCTATACTTTATTCTGTATTCTTACATTGCCACCTTAGGTTAGTTGCTGTTGCAATAAAGCCTGGACTACATTTCCTTGACTGTAGTTGTGTTCTCACCCCATGCCCATTCTGAACTTTGCCTTCCAAGTCAGTTTCTATAGGTACCTTGGAGAGATCTCTGTATAATGTGACTGAACCTAGAGAGATCTCTGTATTATGTGAATCTGAGCGTCTTGATTTTTGATTTGATTTTTTAAGCTAATCTTTTACCCTGCCTTTAAAGTACCCTGTAATTTTTTTTTAATCACTTATTTGAAAGAGTAGTTCCTTCTTCCTTTGATATCCTAAGTTCTGGTCCTGGCTTTATAAGGTTACTTCTCTGAAAACCCTCTGCTCCAGACCTACTACAGTGTTTCATACAGGAAATCTTCTTTGTACTTTTGCATCTTCCTTGACCACACATTAATCCCTAGCGTCCAGCCTACTCTTAGGCATAAATACCATCTCTTCCAGAAAAAATATTTTGGCTTCAGCTTAAGATCTGCCTTCTGCGGGCTGATATCTATAATCCTAGCACCTCAGGAGGCTCAGGTCTAAAGATAAAATTCAAAGCCAGCTTGGCAGATTCTCAGAGTCATCACCAATTAACCAACAAAAGAAAACCAACAAGTGGAGATGTGAGTCAAGTAGTAGAGAGCCAGGCCTGAGTGAGAAAGCTGAACTAGAGCGCAAGGCCTTGAGTTCAAGGCCCACTATCAACAAATGTGTTTCTGCTAAGAAATTCTTTTTATTGCCATGTACCAGTAGCTCTCTGATCCTAGCTACTCAGGGGGCTGAGATCAGAGGAGTGAGGTTCGAACCCAAACCTGACAAACAAATCTGAGAGATTCTTACCTCTAGTCAACCAGCCAGAACTGAGGTATGGATGGCTCCAACCTTGAGCAGAAAAAGCTAAGCAAGAGCCCAAAGCCCTGAATTCATGCCCCAGTACCAGCACACACACACACACACACACAAGAAATTATTCTTATTCTTAAGTATGATTTTGGCAAACTTCACTTGTTATATAAGGATAAATGCCATTGGCTGGTTAATTTATATTGCCAGGTGTAGAAAGCACTCTGCTTTTACCTGTTCCATTTGCATTTTCCCATGCCATTTCAACAGTTCTATTTTTAAAGATGAAGTTTAAAAGAGTTAAGTAATTTGACAGTGTCACAAAGTGAGTAGCCTGAGATACGGAGATTTAAATCCAGCCTGTCTGAATCAAAAGCCTAACCACTTCTTTTTACCAGTCTGCTCTGAAATAATTAGCTGGTTTCTTAACTCAAAATGGGCTAAAAGAAATAAGCACATAAAGAAAATGAGAAAAGCCAGGCACTGGTGGCTCACTCTTGTAATGGTAAGCTATTCAGGAGGCTGAGATCTCAAGAACTGTAGTTCATAGTCATCCAGGGTGGAAAAGTCTGAAAAATTCCCATCTCCAAAATAATCATCCAAAAGCCAAGCTGGAAACAAGGTTCAAATGGTAAAGTAACAGCCAAACAAGTGCAAGGCCCTGAATTCACTAAAGAAAAGAGAGTGGAGGGAGTATCACAAGAAACGTTTACAACAAATTAGTTCAAATTATGAAGGCAGAAAAGTAGCTACAGTTTTTTGTTTTTGGAGTTTTTCTTTTTTTGAAGTATAAGCTGGGAGTTGGTGGTTTATGGCTGTAATCTCAGAGGCTGAAATCTGAGGATTACAGTTTGGAGCCAGCTAGGACAGGAAAGTCTGAGACTCTTACCTCCAATTAAGCAGCCAAAAGCCAGAAATGGAGGTATGACTCAAGTGGTAGAGTTCCAGCTTTAAACGAAAATACCAAGCGGTAGAAGCTCTGTGCTCAAACCCCAATACCTGCACTCCCACCCCCCAAAATTAAGTGTGGCAATATATAAATACCTACTACTGATTAATAGACTGGTATGATATGTCTGTATGTCTGATTGCTTGACAGTTTGTGAATCTTTGTATTTATAGTCATAATTTTACCCTGCACCTTCTTTTTTGTTTAAAATGTGATCCTACACAATTCAGCAAGCCCTGTCTTAGGAAGAAACAAGTAATTATCGAGATTTCTTGTTTAAATTAAACATACTTTTAAAAAGTGTTTTATGATCTTAAGAGTTTTGAACTTGAGCTTTGCAAGGTAGTATATTGGTGTTAACATCTCTATGTAATGAATATTACCAGTCTCATTTAGAAATGAAGAAATGTGGCAAAGATGAAATAATTTGCCTGGGCTCATAAAGCTTTTGAATGGTAAAGCTGAGATTTGAACTCAGTTCCATGGATTCTGAAGGAGTTTCAAAACTCTTGTATTAACCACTTTACATGACCTTGACCTTTGATTTTCAACAGTGCTAGATAATTCAAAGAATAAGATATGATACTAATTGTGCATGTCAATGTTAAAAATTGAAAACCAGGACAAGATGCTATTGATCTACTGAGACTACTTAAAGTTGAACTTTTTTGAGGGTCTAAAGTTCTTTGAGGAAGATGCTTATATATTGATTTGATAAGTAGCCCCTTAGAATTCCAGCCCCTTAGAATTCCTAGCGGAAGCCGGGCGCCGTTGGCTCACGCCTGTAATCCTACCTACTCAGGAGGCTGAGATCTGAGGATCATGGTTCAAAGCCAGCCTGGGCAACAAAGTCCATGAGACTCTTATCTCCAATAAACCACTAGAAAACCAGAAGTGGTGCTGTAGCTCAAGCAGTAGAGCACTTGCCTTGAGCTGAAGAGCGCAGGGACAGCGCCCAAGCCCACAGTTCAAACCTCACAACAGACCAAAAACAAAACAAAGAATTCCTAGCAGACCTAATAAATGTACTCACTTGTTTACACGTTCTTCTGTTTCACTTGCTGTGAAATACTATACATCAGGCCTCAAACTTCCCCTTCTCTGTTGTTTCCTTTCCCTCTTCAACCCCCACCCTAATTACATCTGCCTTTGACACTTAAATAAGTTTGAAAAGCAACTATTGTGCATCCACTGAGAGGATAGAATCTCTTGAACCTGAGAAAGGCATCAACTCCAATCTTTAGAAATTGCAACACTTACTGGAATCATTTCTCATTTATTAGTAAAATAGCCAATTTAAAAGAGTCTTATCTTGCTTTTAGTGGAGTTTCCTTTTTATTTTTCATTCTTTTTTAAATTATCAGGTTATCATCAGAAGAAATTATTACTTGCATTGCTTTTTGGCAGCAGGACTGGTGACTCAATATGAAATACCATTTTTTTTT